TCAGAATAGGGTTATGAATTATCATACAAAAATATTGAATAACAAAGATTGTTGTTCCATAGTGCAGTCAGAAACTTCGTAACATTACAATCATTAATTACAATATTGAGAACACTGATTGATTGATAATATGGCAATGGCAATATCAACTAATCAAATTTCTAGAATAATTAGGCACGATACGAAGTTTAAGGGTCATTCTTAATTTAAGTATCATTTACCACTTAAAATGACAAATTAAAATTAGATCACACTTTCGAATCATTTTTGTTTTCTGATAGTTTTAGTCTTCATAGTAATGTAAGTTTTCTACCAAATATCCGCCCTAAAGTTAGAATTTTTAACCAATCAAAGCAAGTAGAGCAATACGAGTTTTGCTGTCCAACAGTCCCTTATTTTATTAAGAAACGGGTTTCACTTGACACGCTTTGATTAGTTAAAAGTAACATCATTGGGACAGAACTTTAGTCAGATAAACATAACATCTACCAAAAGAAATAATAAACCACCGCAATACTTACCCCAACCAATGATGACGTAATATCCGATTCGTATTTTGTCAGCAGAATACGCCCACACGATTATGGTGAATAGGTAGAGACCCTCCACAAACATCCAGAAAAAATTGGTACCATGGAGATAGTTATATACCGTTACTATTAGCTTACATAACCACTGAAAAAAAATGAAATGGAATGTTTCGGCCTATATTATTCTTCATCTGATTGGGCTAATAGGTGTAAAGCCAAGTAGCGTGCGATGAGGGAAATTTTGTCAGGGCAGTAGTATATATAGTAGTAGTATAATTCCATCATGAGTTACCAAAGTCGTAAGAGTCAGTTGGTATAATAACCCTTGATAAAGCAGATCGATATTCTTGCTTCGTACGATTTGTGCAGTTTCCTGTGTTCAATTTACCAATTATTCAATTAGACCAATTAGCATTCGTATTACGTGTTGAGTTTAAAACTGACGATGTCCAACATTAGAGACGAGAATGGTGATTCATAAGTTATAGTCGTACAACCTTTAAAATACACAAATGCTATATGACAAAAAATCAATGCCAGTTTAATTGAAATCAGACCAAACTTTCGTTCCGTTATGTTGGCTTTTAATTAGGCACTTTAGTTAAAATCTTCGTATGAATAATTTGACCTATTGACCTGTTTGAAACAATCGAATAATACTTTGCTAATTTGAAACAACCAGCGAAAAAGAATGTTTCAACAACAGAACATTCGGCTTCATTGGACTGACTAATGGTCTAATGCTTCCAGGGATACACCTTTTGTTCGAGTCACATATTCCCAGAGTTATCAAATATATAGATTAATTCTATATAGAGGAGTGGTTAGACCATACTTGGAGTGGCTGCAATAAAGATAAAAACTAACAATAAACACAACTAAAGTTAGATCTAACTGACTGCCAATGCCATCAGCAAAGCTTACAACGACATCTATGCATTTTAATTCCTCGAATATAAAGATACCTATCAACATACCTCAGTGTCCACGTGCGCGAGATCCACCAGGGCGTTATGCATTATAACCCACAAGATGTGACGTAATATAAAGGTAACTATCAGGTGGCAATGAATGACGTTTCGAAGACATCGTAAACTCCTATAAGATAAACAAATAGAAAATTATTAATGTTAGCTGTTTCAAAATGGGGTGTGTATTCTTACGCGATGGGCTGAAAGATGAGGAAAGGAATCCGACCTCTCGACCAAACGCCCAAATTGACTTATTAGGACCAACCCAACTTATAACATCTCGATAGCATGATAATAAAAACCTATAAACTTAGACTATCGTCTCTTCCACTAATACATTTTCTTAAATTACAGAGGAATAAGATTTATATTTTTACAAGTGATACGGATAACTTAAATGAATCTATATCAACAGGGACAGCACTAATATTAAACGATTTTGTCTGCTACAAAACAGGCCTTTCAAATTATCCGAAACCCCACATACATTCGGAATGTTATAAAATCTTTTGTTATTAATAAATAGTGCATGCATCATTCAAATAGTCGAACTTTAGATACCAAACACAGAAGAATGTAATTGGTGTTCGGGGTTCTTGTGACCCTACCCAAGCCACAGAAGACATGCAGTTCTGTCATCACTTAGTTTAAGCAGTTTATGTTATAATGTTGACTCATACATGCTCAAACCTTTGTATTGTTAGAAGTTTGAAGAAGATTTTTTTCTCAGTAGGTAAATATATTGTCTTCTTGAGTAAACATCCTGTCCCCTGGGTGACAAGAAATGTGTTTATGAGTAAAGAACATTGTTATCCCAAGTAAAGAACATTGTATTCCTGAGTACCGAACATTGTGTTCCTGAGTAAAGATCATTGTTATCCCAAGTAAAGAAACATTGTATTCCTGAGTACCGAACATTGTGTTCCTGAGTAAAGAACATTGTTATCCCAAGTAAAGAACATTGTATTCCTGAGTACCGAACATTGTGTTCCTGAGTAAAGAACATTGTTATCCCAAGTAAAGAACATTGTATTCCTGAGTACCGAACATTGTGTTCCTGAGTAAAGAACATTGTTATCCCAAGTAAAGAACATTGTGTTTCTGAGTATAAAACATCTTTATCCCAGGTAAAGAACATTGTATTCCTGAACATTGTGTTTCTGAGTACAGAACATTGTGTTTCTGAGTAAAGAACAATGTGTTCTTGAGTTACCCTTGTCTCATATTAGTAAGATTCATGCGCTCCGCCTCCGTTGTTAGGATTCAACAAGGGTATTCTAGTCAGTTTGAGTTTTAGCCCTCGAAACAGGCGATTTATATTTCAATCATTGAACCCTCATTCAGCTACCCGTGTCATTAGATTTAGCAATCGTGTAACATACAGCGTATGTTGGCATTGTTAAAGCCTCTTCAGAGTCAATTCTAAAAAGCCTTGCTCCGATGACCTTAAAATATAGGACTACATTATCAAGGGTAAGTGTGTGTGTGACTCGTATAACTATAAGTATAAAGCCAAGATGCTGTGTTAGTTGGTGAACTCGAGGATTCACACTCCTGGTACCTGCTTTGTTGAACGTTATAACCAGTATTCAGGAATACAGTTCTGGAATATCAGATGGGGAAAAGTTGAACTTTGGCTAGGTAACAGTGAAATACGATCTGAGCAAGGTAGATCGAGAAGCTTCGTCATAACTTGGACTTTCCATGGCGTTTCTACATGAGATTGGTCCGACTTCCAAGACCCCTCCCCCGACCACCTATTTCGATTTTCTAATCACTGAGTGCGTAAATGCCTGATGCTGTTCGTTATCTCGCACCCCCATCCAACTCCTTGACAATTCTGCAGCCCCCATTCGATTCGACCCTTCATCTAGTTGTACCTATAATCACCACTGTGAATTTTGCCTAGAATAATTAGCTTGACCACTCTCTAACATGAAAATGTTTCAGTTTGTGATTTTTTCTGTTGGTGGCCAATAAGCATCCGAGGAAACCATATGTCATTGTAATTTTCCACCGATAAAAGTGTGTTTTCAAAAAAAAATGCGTCCTACCATATACCAGCTATTTGTAACAGTATTCAGAATCAAAGCCCGACATCTATTACTCTTGTTGATAGTCTCCCACTGTAGAGTTTTATTGAATTCCAGGAGAACCTGATATTGAATTTTAATTCTAAAAAGTGATACGTCTAGCTTAAATTGATTGTATCCCTTTAAAAAACACTGACGTACCTGAAGTACAGGAATATAATAAGAGCCGCTACCAGCGCTATAGTAGTGATAATAAACCCAACGTTATAGATTATCAATACTCCGGGACTTTCAGGGGACAAATCCTGCAAAACATAAACAATGGGAATGAGACAGCTTTCTATAAAGGGGCAACATGCAACATTTTTAAAATATTAAAACTGTCTTCAATTGTATAGTTAACGTAAACCGTTTTACTTTTTTTAGTTAAAACTTTCAGAGAAGTTAAGGAACACATTTCTCTTTATTTTGGTTTACTGTTTCAACCTACTAGAATAATGCGACTGCCCTTTGCCCTTTCAATATAATAGGACCTGCAGAAGGACATGTTCCCAATGTCAAGGTAATATGAACTTCATCTAACACCTTGACATCATTAGGCACTTTTCTTGTGTTACCAAAGTTCGTAAATGCAGAGATTTGGACATGTTCAAAACAAATGCCAAGGATTGGCGATATGTTTTGGAACGTGTTAAGAACGCCTTGGGATCAACAATGTCGCCAGTCAAGCGTTGTAACATCTCCTTACGAGGTATGAAAGCGCAGTACACTCGTGATAAAATCGCAACATCGTCGCATAAATCGTGGTATAAGGTCGACTGTTTTTAAGTTAGTAATTTCCAGTTGCCGTAAAACCGCAAATGGTCGCACTCCGGTGTGACGGGGCCATAAGATCTACGCTTGCGAATATAACCAATCAGAACCCCTAGTAAACAGTATGGCTTTTTTGTTTAAGTCTTTCTGTCAATGGTCTCTTTTCCACAACAAGCCGCCTTGGTGAGCTTTTATATCCGTAACGCATGGGGGTTGCATAAAGTAAACTCCAATAATTAGAATAAAAATTTAACTTGTGGTCCGATTTGTATGAATTGTAGAGTTGTTGGACCGGATTAACCTTATTACATACGGATTAGCAGCAATATGACACGACGGTTCAATAAATTGGATTAATTATTTACATCCCAGAGATACAAAAATATCTCTTTTTTCCTTTTTAGCGAATAAAACCCATTGTTCGATTCTTGAACTGTGATGATAGGATTTACTGCAAAACATGCCAAAAGACTTAAATAGAATTATATTACACGCATTGAACAGGAATATTTTAAGGGTAGCGTTGTTGATCAGGCCATACTAGGTTCGTTCGTGATTTTAAACTTTAAGGATCATTCAGTGCTCTTTGTAACTTCGTAATTTATATCTATTTCGTGTTTTTGAATTGTATTAGCCCCGCCACACAGGACAGGCTTCCTTTCTGAGCTGCCACGGCGACGGAAATTTAGCTCAGAGCTTGTCAAGGTCGCGCAAGATATTGTACAGTGAGCGCCAGTGTCGCCAATAATCACCGTTGATATCGCCACAAAATCGAACGCATCTTTAGACAAGCGTCGTAACATCTCCATGAACAAAATAAAAGTGGAATGCACCAAGCCTAGAATGTGTATTAGAAACGTGCATCAGGAATGCAATATGGGCACATAAGTAGCAGTTTGTGTGCGACTGTTATAGAATTTGTAATTTCATGGGACTTTTATGGTACCTCACATATATTCAAGACCTAAATCAACCCCCGTTAATTATGATGAATAACCTTTGATATTCTGTTAAAATTTCGGGGTTTTTTTTCATCAAAGTAACAATCCTTCAAACAATTCTTATATTTTCGTTGTCAGAATACGATTGTATAAGGGAAAGAATTAACGTGAATCATGTGGGATTTGTAAGAAGCGGATATTAAGTGCCATGCCTTATAACTACAGGATGGATTACAGCGATTATGAAATGCCCTATTGCAGTAGGAGAACTAATTGGTCTGTAATGAGATGGAAGGGACCGTAATACCTCATTAGGAACATGTTATTGGCAGCTTGGGAAGGATATTATACAACTACCTTACGCTATTGTTTAAGACGGGACTTGAAACCATGGAAACTGTCATTTGAATGGACATAGTGGACTAAATATTTGTTTTATCAGCTGATAGACCTCAATTTCAGCTACGCAGAATAGAAATCAGACGTCAAGTTTGCAATCAATTAAATGAACCATCTTAATATTCACATGAACGGATAATAATCGACGACGTTATAGTATCGACAATATCTTCAAGAGAGATTTGTGTAAATGACAATGGCCTTATGTCTGTCTGGAGACTACATCTTATCACATTTTCAAAATATCAAGCTATTACGTACTTCGTCTTATACCTTAACTGCAGTAGCCACATCTCTTGTATCATGAAGGTTTGCCCATGCAGCGAAATGGTTGTATTGTACGTTAGCGAATACAGCAAATGAAAGCCCTTAACAGAAAGTCTGTATACCAACTACATAATGTTTTTTTTTATGTCGAGGGCTCTGGTTGACTGTATTCGCTAGCGTACAAACAAATAAATCTTCGCATTGTAGTCAACGTATAAGACGAATTTCGTAATTGCTTGACATTGTGAAGGTTGGTCTTACCGCAGAATGATCCTTCTCGTGTGGTGTCAAACAGTCATTGTAGTTTGATCTTTTAGCCCAAACACCGTCTTCGCCACAGAATCTTGTAGCATTTTCTGAAATAAAGAAACATAAGATTAAGATAACGAAGACGAACAACGCCAAACAGTACGAAATGCGGCAAAAATAATGTTTTTTTATTTAGAACTATCAAGGGATCTTGATTGTCTGTACACACAGAATCTCAGATTAATGAGGCATACCATGTTTCGAAAATCACGATATTTATTAATACAATTCTTATATACCTTTTGACAGAGTCCCAATAAAAGACGACTCGTCATTTTAACTTTCAAATGCAGAGAATTCTATACACATTTGGATATGAAGGCTCAGTAGTGTTACTGTTACTGATTAGCTAAGCTAATCTGAGCTACGATTGGTCAAACGAAGTTGTCCCTTTAACCGATAGAAGCCCACTGAGCCAAACATCACTAATTCACTTGTAAGGAAATTAGTTATTTCACCAAACAAAGTCCTCGGAAATTAAATACCAAAATAACATTTTTCACATGACAATCAGATAAATAAAGTGTTCTGGTCTAATTTGCTGTAGTCTAAAAACCATACAACTGGTTTAGAAATGGCGGTTAAGCCAGAATTATCCGCATATGAGACTCCACCATAATAATATAAATGACAGAAAATGAAAATGTGTATTCAAGATATCTGCCAACAATGCATCAATGCAACAAAACACGGCAATGGCCGGAGCCGTCGGTAAAACCGGTTAGTTAAACGAAAATGTCAAAACCTTGTTCTTTGTGTAGGTTACGATGTTATCGGTAAACCGTTCTTTTACATTAAAAGTGATTGTCGGTAAAACTGCATCAGTTGAAGCATACTAAGCAAAACGTCAACAAGTTGTGAGCAGCATTTCTTATTAATAACTTGAACGAAGCTGTCGGTAAAACACGGTAATTGCCAAAGCTGTCGGTAAAACCGATTGGTTAACCGAAAGCGTGAACACCTGACAATAATGCATCGGGATCTTTTAAGTCATTGAGATAAACTTGTTGATTGGTACAACTGAAACACTTTACCGACAATCATTTTTAATGTTTACCGGTAACATCGTAACCGGCACAAGGCTTTCGCGCTTTCGGTTAACCAATGGGTTTTAGCGACAGCTGTAGCCATTATCGTTTTTCATCCAGTCGCTGTTAGATCGCAAATCCGGTGTGACGGGGCTTCTATCGAATTTTTTCTGGATTCTTTACGAGGACGTTAAGGTTACATGGATACATTGTCATGCTAAAAATTCTCAAAAATTAGCGATCCAAAATGGATGGTAGCATGAGTCTGATGTCATATGGGTATATCACGTCCGATGAACGGGTAAGGTCAGATTTGTTTGGCTACAGAAATAAATGTAATAAGCAGACGATGGTCATATCTGATTTATTCTGACCCCAGTAATAATAACTGAGACATGATACACATTTTTTCTTATATCATACTTAATAAATGATCCCATTCTCTCATGTTACTTGGTGAGATTAGAATAAACAAGACTGTTATCGATTTAGAAGCGAGAGAGCAACTTTAATGGGCAGTATGTAACATTTTCATTATTAAAGGGATTGTAAAGAAGTTTATATTTTTAGGTTTGTTTTATTGAAGAAAATTCATTTCTTCTGTAAGATACTTTTCGTCTGCATCGTAATCGAACCAATACAATTCTTAATAATAATATCTTTTCAACCAAACAAAGCTTGTCATGCAGATCGTGTTTCTTGATAACCCCGATGAATTATTGTGAGATGGCGCTAGCCAAAGACGATATTACAGCCTCTTTGGGTTTTGCAAAACACTTTACCTTATCGACCAAGCCATCCTGGACTGTACGAACAGGTCAGTCACTCGCCACTGGTCATCTTTGAAAGCCAATCTTGAATTCATGGGCCTTTTAATTTTGCTTAGTGGACGTCCTGCCAAATTTACTTGTTTTAAAAGGACATCAACTTTGAAATATGGAAATACTGGATAGATAATTTCTCAAGGCGAGTAGGGGGTATCTGAATAAGAGTGATCAGGCTTTGAAATATATCAAAGAAAAATACACATACAAGATCTGACAACAATTTCTTTGATATGATTATCGCCAACTTGAAAGAAAACCTTAAAAGTCTGGTTTTAGTACAAATAAAGAGTAATATAAAACATTGAACACAATATAGTTACCACGAACTAAAGATCTGCTCCATGTTGGAGATTTGCTATGAATCTTGTCCCATTAAGTATGTTAACTCATGGATATAAAAACCCACATCAAGGCAAGTGATTGAAAAATTAGGGGGGTAACTTTCCGAATCCAAATAAAACTGAGTATTACCCTATAACTTTCGGATTATCAATAGTGAGTCGATAATCTACAATGTGGACACCTAATCCTTCATATAAACCCACTAAGGCCCAGGTTAAAACGTATCTGCCCTTTATGAAATCTGGCAACAGACACATAAAACATCATTATAATGTGTTTTCTTTAGCGAGACATAAAATTTCGAACAACCGACACTTTTAAGTGCTAGGTTCTGTAGCACAGTCGGTTAAAGCGTTGGTTTTATACATTTTTGGTTACACTGAGCAAACTGCGGTTGTGGGTTAACCTCGATCCGCGTGTAAATGTTCTTCACTCACAATTCCAGTCAACCCAGCTGTAAATGGGTACAGATAATCCGATGCCAATAGTTGTAGTTAGGGACAAGCTGGTAGAAAGGATCCTGTGTGAACTTCCTTGTAAAATAAAGTTGTTTGTTTCTTTCCTTACCTAACATATAAAAACTAAGGATGTTTTTTATATAACATTGAAAGAGGACATATTATTTATACTCTTATACTCATTTATACTTATATTCTTTTTTTTTTTTTTTTTTTTTTTATTTTCCGATGACTTCAGGAGTAACACAAGCACCCACTTCGAAAAAGCAATAAAATTGCTGAAAAATGCTCAAATTTCAACATATAATGAAATGAAAACTATAGGAGCATAACAAAGAGAGACTTCATGACTCCAGACACACTTTTAGACTTGTGTAAGCTTCTATGTCTTTATAAATGTTCTCATTTGAACTTGTTTACATCACATTTATTTTTCTAAAAGCGGACGTTAGAGCAAATAAGCTAATATGTAATGAAAAAAAGTTTTTAATCAAACACGTATCTTTATTACGCCATAAAACGGGTGTCAGAATGTAATACGTTTTTTCGCTGTGAATATGTGATATCTTTAGTTATTAGTTCTGAGTTTTTATATATGAAAATAATCTTACAGTTTAGTATATTTTTTCTTAAAGCGGACGTCAAAGTAAGTCACTCTACTTTTAGAATATGAATATATCATCATTTTGTCACGGAACCCAATGCAGTGTATATAAGAGAAATAGCACACGAGGCCTTAGTTTGTTGTCGGGTCCGATTGACCAGACGTTTTTTCCATGTCAGAGCCACTTAACTTCCGTAAAACCTTATTGGCAAATATATATTGTTATGATATTTAACTATGAGCTTTTCACTAGTGTACGTGAATATCACGTTCGGATTTATTGCTCTGAAATCGGTTGCTACAGAAATCATAATACGTAATCGAATATATAATTACCAGAAATTACTGACTTAACGAGATATTTGCATGACGTGACGAAGTCATCATAATATACTGGCTTATCAAGGTTTTTTAATTTTAAAGGTGACGTCAGAGGGAGCACACTCTTTTGTCTAGGTCTGTGAATGAATCAATGAATGAATGAAACTCACTGGTTGGGTCAACGACTTCCAGATCTTTAGGACAGGGGATTGTTGCGTAGGTACCCTCTGGGGTAGCAGGCCAGCAGGAAAATTCATCTTGGGTAGTATTGCAGTATAACACACCAACTTCTGAAATAGGAACATAATTGATCTTGATGCATACATTAAAGAGACAATGTTGGAGGATAAAAAAATAAGATCGATATCATGACGTCATCCGCAAAAACTACACGCTCACAAAAGCCTGCAAACTCAGTCTGAAATGCGTTTTGTATTGCTAAAAATGAGCTCAGCTGGCGAAGTGAATATTTAGAAGACAGTATCCCTTTAAGTCTACATTCATTTAGCTGACACGACCAGTTATCGACTTTGAGACACTAAGGAAGAATATCAGTTGATTATGAAATACAAACACCCTTTTCGAACAGATAAATGTCAATTTCAGAGGTCAATTTCAAATGAACTGAACGATTTCTTAACGCATTGATAGTATTTCAACCCAAACTCAATCGGAACCATTTGTCAGTTACCGTTTGATGCTTCTATACATGATTGATGCTTCAACATACTAATATAGTTTGCCGATACAAACACAATCATACGCCCACTATGTCCCTTGGGATTGCATTGAAAGATAAGACGAAGAAAAATAGCCAGGCAAGATAACATACGCTCACATAACACTCGGGATTACAAGACAAGGAAATGTTGCAAGGCAAGATAAAAAAAAAAAGAAATAATCCGACGTTTATATATACACAATAACATATATACTAAGTGCATGTAAATATCGGGTTGAACGTTCAAATTCAACGCCTTTCGCAGCTACAAACATACATTAGGAACATAGCCGTCCTATTATTTGCTCAATCAACTATATTTCAATTTTTGATGTTGATAATACAAAATGCTTTTAAGTATTGTAGATAAAGACACTACCATACATGTACTTAACTTTAAGAGTTACAGATAACTAAACACTATCAACAAGTTATGGCAAAATGTAGATGACAAAATCCGTTTAAAAGATCATTCAATGGAACGTTCTCAGGGGTTCATTTTGCTTCCAATAACCAAACAAAATCTGTTAGTGGGCGACTGGCATAGCAATCGATAAACCTGAGGAATGATTAATTTTTCTCGAACAGAAGCCAGATTGGAATATTTGCATTAAAAAATTACAAGGAAATTTATTCTCATTTTCAACAAAGAAATAATTCTTTTCAACAGCGGCCTGAAATTTGTTTTTTTTTATTCCGTTTGGAATAAATCGTTCTTCTTTGTTTGTGGAAGTTTTATTTTTGGCTGGAATCGAAGAGATCTCTGATGTATGGAATGGTTATTTGGAAGTTTGGAAGATCTTTTTGTTACGATTGCTTACACAGAGTCGAGTATCGATTCCGATTTATACTCAAATAAAACATTATTTTTAGAAATATTGAAAATATAAAAAGAAAAGATTATGAAATTCACGACAGCAGATTGATTAGTTTTTGGGCAATTATTGACATAAAAGTAACATTGTGCACTAATTTACAAAGTATATATTTTTTTAAATTTCTGTTCTCTTTATTGTGTGACGCGAACAAAGGTTGTATTCGCAGAAGCATAAAACTAGTTTATCAAGTCCACTGAAATGGAAATTAGAACACGCCTTTTTATTTTGACGTTCCATTGGTTAAATTGAATTGGTTAAGACAGGGGTCGTCGGGTAAGGTCAAAAGGTTATTGGGGCGAATATTAAGAGCGCCGTCGTTAGACACTAACTGTAGTGGCTCTATTAAGAATAAATAGTATTAAAAACGGAACGAACGTCGCAACGAAGAATAAATAAATTTGAATGATTAATGGAAAACCTAAAGCTGACTTCACAATATTAACAAAAATCATATATTCTTGAACACTGGGAGAAAGTATTTCGCCACAATTTGCGGTTAATCGCAAGGCTTTACGAGTAAGTCTTCACGCACAAGCCTTGATACACTATGCCCATACACCATGGGCCTGTACATTTGGGAGAAACAAACACTCCCTTTCCTGGAAATCTGAATTACGGTTTTGATTGTTCTACCACTGTTGTAGTTGTTGCCTTCCAATAGTTAAATCCGGTAAAACCTTGTACTGTTAATTTAGTTGCAGACATTCTTACCATAAATCATATTTTAGTGCAGTTTTATGGTCTAGTTTTAAGAAAGCTAGCTGTAATGTGTCATGAAACTTAACAGAATAAAAATGTACAAGGAAGTGGAACAGAATGAATTCGAACAGAACAAATATAAAAAACAAGTGTCACAATGAACAGAATTTGAACAATAAAACAACCAAAATTTCACAGTGAACAAAATTTGAACAATAAATACAAAGTCTCGCTATATGAACAGATTTTAAATAGTGAAAATCAAAGGTTTCGTAATGAACAAAATTTGAAGAGAAAAAAAAAACAGAGGTTTCGCAATGAACCACGAGTTGACCGAAAACAGTTTTTTCACCGTAGTGTGTCTCTACACAGATGTAATGTTGCAATAAATGCCAAGTTTAATCATGTCGTAATTTTACAAAACTTGAGTTTTTTTTATTACTGCTAATGAAAATAAATGAAGAACATATATGCTATAGACGTTTTCAAGACATGTTTTCAATCAAGGCAAGATCTTCAAGGCGGTATAGTCGAGTCAACTGCACTCTTGAGAGCACTTGGCAAGGTTCCGATGCATACCGTCATTCGAGTTAGACAGGAGACTATAACCCTTAATACAGAAGGTTGGTAATTTAGTCGAATCTGCAATAAAATACGGTTTTTTTTTATCGTGCACCTTTCACATTTGTGTTCAAGTACACTGTACAATATAGGCCGTAATACATAAACAAAAACTAAATACATGAAAAATATAAAAAATAAAGTACTGGGAAACATATAGCACGAACAACAAAATACAACAAAATACAAATAGACAACTTATGATACATTATTAATTTAAAAACTTTAACTCTATGAAAAGGCCAGAATAAAGAGATGTGTTTTTAATTTCTTCTTAAAACTATTAACGGAGGTAATTGATCTTAAAATAAATGGCAGATTATTCCAGAGTAAAGGCGCCTGTACAGAAAGAGAACGTTGCCCATAGGTAGCAAGTTGTGCAGTTTTTGGTTTAGGAGCAATTTGTTGGTACTACGTAGAGTCCTTCCTGGGGAGTACATTTGTAAAAGCTCAGTTAGATAGACAGGGGCTAAATTGTTTAAACATTTGAAAGTTAACAATAAGATTTTAGGAAGCCAATGTAAATCAAATAAAATTGGTGTAATATGGTCATGGAGTTTTGTTCTAGTCATGAGGCGTGCTGCCGTATTTTGAATTTTAGTCAATTTTTTAGAAGTTTTTCAGGAGTGCCAATAAAAAGTGAATTAAAATTATCAAGACGAGATGTTATCAATGAATTAACAAATGTTTTTGTGGCATCTACAGATAAATATTTGCGGATCTTACCAATGTTCCTTAAATTAAAATAACAAAGTTTAGTAATGTTATTCACCTGCACATCCATGAGCATATTACTGTCAAAAATTACACCTATATTTCGGGCTGAGGGTGACGCATTTATATTGGAATTGCCAATCGCAATGGATGAGCTATTTACATTATTAAGTTGATTTTTGGATCCTAAAAGCAAATATTCAGTCTTGTCATCATTTAATTTCCTTCTTCCGTCATTTTTGCATTTGACCACTTACTGCTCATGTTACATAGAGTATAGGATACTTATAAAACTCTGCGTTGCGTTAATTCGATATCAATATCAGTGAAAATAAGAATAGGTAAGTGTTGTATCAAGGGCCAAATTTTGTCTGATTTGTACACCCTTGATAGATCAATTGAAATTAAATGAAATCGGATGTTGATTCCTGCTATTCTCTTTCGATTGGCTTATTGAAACCATCATGCAGTGTGCAACGAAGTATATTTTTGTTGAAAGGTAGGACAGAAATGAATGCAGAGCATGTTGATAGATGGCAGCACTTCCCCGGACTAGGTTCGGAATCAGTAAGCTATCAATAAGCTTCAGCTATAAGCAGATAATGCAGATTTCATGAGCCAGTTACTTCAGCCGATATAGTAACAGAGTTAATTCCCTTAATTAGGCTTATTTAATCCTACTTGATTTACTTATTCATTCACACCACGACTGTAAGTAATCAACCGAAATGATATCTTACTGTAGATGATTGCCAAACAAGTTCGACCTAGACCTATTTAGGTGTCATTTTCAGGCGAAAAGTGTTAACCTTCGCTCACTCGGAAAACTCAGTGTAATAGGATAATGATTTTAAAGGCTTAAAGGAGTCTAAATGTTTGTTTTGCAATTTTACAAGGATCAATTTCGAGACAACCTGTGGGGATTGTTTAATTGTACGCGGATAGAGCATAGTTGGATGTTTGAAATACAGCTAAAGGGACAGATTCGCCATTCGTTTGACCAAACGCACCTCAGTCCCAGACACGGGAATTTGTTAGCTAAGCTAATTAATAGTATGCGTAGCTCAAAGTCGCCAGAATACGGCGAACAGTGGCCCTTAATCAGTTGGAAACAAATTTTTAGACAACTTCATCCCTTTAAGGCAGTCGGTTATAAAAGTTATATAGTAGAATAAATGGACATCCCTATCTTTGTTAGTTCAATAATCGGAAAAGTAGTACATAATACTCCATTCCATTTCATCAATCAATATCAGGGACAAATGAGTACAACCAAAAACTCCATTTCATGTTAACAGCTAATTTAAACGCAAAAGGTGATGTAAAACTCAATTTCATTTTAAAAGCTAAATTATGAGTAAAAATGGATGTCAAACTCCATGTCATTTCACCAATCAAAATCATCAGCAAAAAGTAAGTTTCTAAATCAGGAGCAGAAAAGTAGGACGTAGGCTAAATTTCAATGCTACTCACTTCAGATCCAATATTATGAAATATATGATGTAGAGAGCTAATAATAATAATTCTAGGATAATGTCGTCTGGCTTCTGATCTGCCATAATCAAGTGTCGTCTGACATCTTTTTGTTCCCGCCATTAGCGCGTAATTGACATTACATTCACAAATTTTGATGAGATTGGAGTGGACAGAGGACAAAATCATTCATA